GGCCGTCTAATTAGGCTTGAGCATATCTTCATTAGCACATCAGATTTCATAATACAATGTAAAATATCGTGTATTGACCGATGTAGTTGTTTTAGTGTTTAAATTGTATACTAACCTTTACACAATGAATTTTTCCTCAACTTGTTTGTTGTTGTTTTTTTCGTATCTCCACCTGACCATATTTTTCATTATTATTAATATAGTAAATTAGTATGTTAGAAGTTAAATTGTATACTAACCTTTACATTTTTCATTATCTCTCTGTTTCAGGTTAGATGCAGCTGAGGAAGAGAGATGGAGTACATTGAGAAAGTGAACTCCCATCAGACTGAAAATTGGTAACATTTCCTAAAATTCTATTGAATACTGATTTCAAAACGACGTTTCCATCTTTATTGCTTGATAGAGTTCTATTGCTTGATATAGTACTTTTAGCTGCTGGGTTTTCATCTGTCAATATATGTTTACTCTTCTTTGATGATTCTGGACTTTGAAATCATCCGATGGGATCATCCTTCCTCTTCTTCATTACCTTTTTGTTAAAAGGACACTTTAGTTTTGGCGAATAAACTTTTCTAAGGTTAGTTGGTAAATAAATAGCATATGTAATCAAGAAAAAAATATTTACTTTAATAATTAGATCAATCAATCAATATTAAATGGTTAATATAAGTTAACATATATGGTAGTTAGATATATATATATATATTTTTCAAATCCTAACAGAAAGAGTAGTTCTATATAATTAGATTTGTTTTTCTTTTTTTGGATAGCAATATGCATGCAGGATTTGTTGAGATTTATTTGATGGAAAGAAAGATTGAACAATTAAAAAGTAGATTTACAATAATAATGAGATCAATAAGTTGTATTGAGTTGTTAATTTAAGTTTAAGTATATTGTATTTAGATACTCGATATCCTAACAGAAACATTAGTTACATACTTACATATACAATAGATTTGTAAAGCATTTTAATCCTCATAAACCTAAATGTATGTTTTTTACATGTTTGATCTCATATCTATCAACTTTAATATTTTTAATGTGTATATTTTTTTATATTTACAGATACATTGGAACTACATGGTAAAGAATGATGTCTGTTCCAACTCCCGAATTTTTGGAGCTCGAATTAAAAAAGGTTAGTGAAATAACTAATAATATAATATTGAAAATATGGTTTGGGGAAAAGTTCAATAAATCTAAACACTAATACTGAAAATAAAACATAAACTGGAAAGTACTAAAACCAGCAAAAATAAAACATAAACTCAAAAATACTAAAACATAATCAGAAAACGATAATAAAGTCTGATAAAATAATACATAACACTTAAAAGTAACATAAACGCAAAGGGTACGAATTGCAAAGAAACTTCTCTCCTTTAACTTGATGCCATGGTTTGAGCTTGAAGATTAATCGATCTCAATCGGTGGATTTGGGCTGAAAAAATGATTTCCAAATTGCATAAGTTATACATCAATATGATGAATAGATATTATCTCTAAAATTTAATTTAAGACACTGATATATAACTTACATGTTCTCCTTGAATTCAAACACCTCTGTGATAGGAAGATTGAAGAAAAACCTAGAAACACCTCACTGATCCACCAATTGTGTACCTCCTGAAGATAAATAATAAATTAGTTAATAAATAAAATGGTAGATAAAATAGTTTGATGAATTTTTCCATATGTTTCGTAACCAAAATTCTTCAAATTTACATTCCATAGTCCTAGGACACCAATCAGTCAAAACACAAACAGCTTGATCATCATGGAGACAATGCCAATAATGGTTAAATTCTTCAGCCAATTTACCAAAAGCGGTACATAGTATATCATGATCACTGTAATCAAATAATTAAATTAATAGCCATACAATATGTATAATTAAGGAAATTTTAATCATTAACAATAAATACTTACTCATTATTGACGATCCTAAATCTCAGACGACAAATCATTTTAGGAACATCAGCTGCAAATATGTCATCATGGACTAACTCTAGATTCTCGACATTAGTGATTCTCCCCATGACATCTATATGAAGATCTTAAAACCATAAACAAAACGCTTTGTACTGGATAAATATAATAGTATTAATTAGAGATCTTACCAACAGGGAGATTTATGTGTACACCAGGATGAAAGATATTATCAAATGCTTTGAATGACAGATGGTGCTCTTCGGGTTATAGTTAGATCGCTTAACATCTGTGTTCTCAAGGAAATGAATTTCCTTATGTGTGTCAGTTAAACGCTGCACATTAACGACTAACAACGGTAAAGTTGCTGATTTTTTTCCACTGTCCTTCATGCATGACATTGTCGAAATAGGCATACAACCACGCCCAGTTACAAACAGCATGGATCTTGTCTCCCTAGATCAAAAAATTTTTTCGAAAAAAACTTTAAAATTAGTAGATTGAAATCGACCATAAACTAAATCAATCTCATAAATTATAAGAACTTTCGGAAAAATGCTATTTTGTTTGAAATATATAATATCAAATAAACTTACACATTCATCACCCAATAAGAAATGGATAGACTCTTCACCGTTGATCGCAATTGTTTTCCATTTTCTGTGAACTTTGACACGCATTTTCCAGTTAGATTTCCATGGATGCAGATCTATGATTTTGTCATACTCAGATATTGCTTGAATTGTGGAAAATTTAGTAGTATAATGGGTAGTTTTTTTTTAGAACATGATAGAACTGCTATGGGTTGAGGCCGTATATATAGTGGGAGATATTGTAGGTTAACGTGATACACAATTATATATCAGTTGATATCTCTTTATTCGATATTGTAGGCCGTATCTCGACTAACAAAATCCCTTTTTTGACAGGTGCATTTGATTGCATTTTCAAAAAAAAGGGAAAGATGTGATACGATAACACACTGTCCAAGTTTCATTTCTCGGTAAGTTTCCCCATTAAAAACTTTTCAGTGAAAACAGTAAAAGCTTTTTCATGATTATATTTTGAAAGTAACAATGCTTTTTCATTAACTGGTTTATTTTGACAGCAAAAGAATCGTTTACTATACAGATTGTAAATTCCAAGATGAAGTTTAAAGAATAAACATGAAAGCAAAAAATATATATCAACAAAGGCAATTAGGTAAGTAACGCACTATCTGTCAGTAATTATTTGATCCAGTTTTATCGATAATCAAAAAAGCAAATTTAGAACATTGTAGAGAATTAAAAGATCAAATAAATTAGATAACGGTTTATACATAAAAAGCAATTAAAGAGTAGTGAAACTGTAAGATGATTTTAAATATCTCTTTCTCACACATGTAAAATTGTTTTAATAACTAACTCAAATTTGTATGATTGTTCGTAGGGTACAATTAAATCATCGAGATCATAGGTTTAGTTTCTGGCGATGATGGTACTTTCAGACTACCGATTTGTAGGTATCAAATATCTCCATAACTATGTTATAAATTATTAAAAACGTATATTACACAACCACTAACAAAAGTCGTAAAAAAAAAACAGAAATCATCTGAATAAAATATAGTACTTATCCCCAAAAATATTAAATTGTTCAACATATTGAAATACATAAGAAAAGGTAGACAAAAAGAGAATATCTTTAAATATAAAGTTTCTTAATGATAGGAATTGGTAAAACCCTCTAAATATGCTATTCAGAATCTTCATCATTGCCATTTCTGAAAGAAAAAAAAACAACATGCGTAAATGGTTGTAAGAGTCAAATATGAGAAAATGTAAAAAAGTCGGATAACGTCTAAACTACTTACAATGCACGCTTGAACTTTCTAGCCTCATAAATGTCTGGATCGTATACTCTTAATACTTCTCCCGCATAAATCAAGCTCACATTTTATATATAAAAAGAATAACATATAACTCGCTAAAAGTGTACAATTCATAAATTTTTAATTAATTTCAACAATTATATTTTTCAACATACCTCCAACATTGACCACACGAAAATCACTTAGGATTACTACCATATTGTTAGAATTGAAATTCTACCATTTTTTAGTGATTTCAAGGGCAAGTTTACCATGAACAACGCAAGTTAAGTTTGTCCCTTTGTGAAAAAAAAAATAATTATTAAGAAACACAAAACACATATAATAGTGAGATGCAGTTTGAACATATGTGAACTATAAATTAAGATCATACATGATTATCAATTGTAAGCGTCTATATTAAAATGTACTGTGTGTTCTGAATAGCAAATTCGAGACGACATGTGTTAGCAGGACACACAGGGCCAAAGTCCGAATCTTTTACTTTGACAATATCTGTAAGCATAGATATCCTACCCAATACACCTGACCAATAAGACGAAAAATAATAATATGTTAATGAAAATGGAGCAATAATTAAACTTATAAACAAACTAAAAATACTTACGAACAGGTAAGCCACAGTTGAATCTTTCAGCAAGAACATCATCAAAACTTGTAAATTTTATGTAATGCTCATCGGTTACATCATACTCTTTCCTCACATCAGTGTTGTCGAGTAGACAAATTTTCCACATGCAATCGACCAAACGATTAACTGCATCACTTTCAAAGACAGTAAAATGATGCAATTACGAATAATTAGTTTTGTTCTGTAATATGGCTGGTTCTGAAGATCATCACATATAGCATGAATTTTATCACCCTATAAAATTTTAAGAAATTATACATTAGACAAACATATTACTAAAAAAACACTATGATATAGAATATGACGAAGTAAAACATACCTCTTCATCAACAAAGATGAAGTTTAACACTTTGGTTTCTCCTTGAGATTGGGATTCCCAAGACTTAAAAACCATTATACGAATGTACCAGTTAGATCTCCATTGGTTTAAATTCCTGATATTGTTAAAAATACCATCCATATTTAAATGAAAGAAAACTAACGGTTTAAAAGACAGAGAGAACAATGAGAGGTTTAGGGTGATAAAAGCACATAAGGTCTTCCCTTATATATATAGACGCTTCAACGATTAGGGTTTTCGATAATATCGAAAAGATGCATCTTAAATTCAAATTAAAAATTATCAATAACCCAAAAGACATCAATTGAAAAGACACAATTAATGCCTCTAGGTATAATATCTAAATATTAGATAACCATATATGTATCTATTAATGAATATCGGTTAACAAAATTCCTTTTTTTTACAGGTACATTTAATTGCATTGGTTAAAAATCGGGAAAGATGTGATATGAAAATAACACACTGTCCAAGTTTCATTTCTCGCTAAATTTCCTTATTAATATATGTAAGGACAAAGCGAATTAGGTATGTAAAGTATATCCTTGTTAATTTGATCTAGTGTTATTGATAATCACAACACGCCAATTTAGAACAGTGTAGAGAATTAAAATGATAAATGAATTATATAAAAAAGCAATTAAAAAGTAGTGAATAAGCAAGACAAAATAAGATACTTGAATCACTTAAAATAGAGTTGAAGTGATGTGTTTTATGGCAAAATGCACACATTGAAAAACTTAGAAAAATAGTAACAAAATAACAAAAAAAAACACTTAGAACAAATAATTATAATTCAACATTAGCCACTTTTGCTTTCATTTCCAAATTTCTCAGTTTTGACCTGAAGTTTGCATTGCTTCTTAATTGTTGAATGTTGGTCTTCCAGAACTTCAATTATAGGCTCAACTTTTCTCTTCGAAGTAGGGGTAACTTGGTTTGGAATTTCATCATCGACAATTGACTCTGTGTTGGTAAGAGTCAACATACCCTGTTTTCAACAAAACGATAGACTAAGGTTAATGAAGTGCCCTTACAAATATAAATATTAGTATATTAAAATCATAATGAAAGTATACCTCATCACCAGAAACCAGTTCTGAAATATTCACTAGCTTTTCTGAATCATCAACAGTTAAATCTTCAACCATACCCTTGTCACTCAAAATCTTGGAAACCTTGAAAGTATTGTGACCACCACCAAAATTCTCTTTATCAACAGCAAAAACAAACTGAAAAGTTTTTTCGACTAAGTTTTTTAATGTTTCTGAGATTTCTTCAGGATCTTCAATCTAAGCAATACAATAATATAGAACACATGTAAATAAACAACTAAATAATTCTGACACTTGGCATTTTAAACTTAATTGAAAATCATAAGACAATTCCGATGTTTCATAGAACAGCAATACAATAATATAGAACACACGTAAATAAACAACTAAATAATTCTGACACTTGGGATTTTAAACTTAATTAAAAATCATAAGACAATTCTGATGTTTCATAGAACACATGTTAAACTTTAAAGATAATAAAATTTAGATACCTCGTCGAATGATCCGTTGAGCAATTCTGATGCTTAGCATTTTAATATCTCACTTGCTGTTGTATCGAATAACAATATAGTAATCTCACCTGTTGTATCCATAACCTTCAGATGCAACTTGAACCTGACATAAGAAAACGATGAAATCGTGACTATTATTATAGACTTATGGTTAGGTTAATAAATAAGTTAGGTCACTTACTTGGGCACAACATTGGTGACAGTCTTATTGCATTCATTACAATGCCACCTAGGTATCCCTCAGAGAACTACGACACCATTAGTTCCTGCCACGATCTTTCTAACCTTCTTATGATTTTTGATTTTTCACCCAAAATAATATCATCCCCAGTCAGTGTCAATGGCGTAAACTGTGCAAATGATCCTTACTTTGCCAACCTATCAAATTGCAAGAAACATTCAAGGAACACTATAGTGACGTATATTTTAAAGCTGTTGTCAAATACATACCTCGGTTAATTCTTTTAGTTCAGCAACCGTGACCATAGGAAACTGGTTCCAGTAATCATCCGTCTTTGCTAGTATTTCCTTTTTAGGTTTGGTTTCCAACAGAGTAAGAGCAAACCCATCATCCGGTAAGCTGCAATCAAAATATAAATGTCATGAAACCATAGGAAGTATTAATATACAAATTCAAGTGTACATTATCTCAAATCATCTCAAAAATATAGGACTCACGCATCCAAAAAGTGGTCAATATGTGCTCCAGACGGGTTTATAATGACTAAACTGGCATCAAAAGCATTGGAAACACTTTTTATATCTGAAGGTAATAGAAAAAATAGAAGTGAGGAATACATATTTGAAAATAATGAAGCTTATAACTGGATAATGTAGAAAGTGTACCTCTGAACTCTTTAATTTTTCCAAATCTAATGAGACAAATTAGTTTTTCAGTCTCATTATTGGAAGTGGCTTCGACAATTTGATCAGCAAAATTAGAGACAATTGTGTATTTGACAAAACTAATCCGGTAACAATGTTTTGTAGTCCTGTATTGTCCAATTGAATTGCTAACGTTGAACTCTTCAATGAATTTCCAGCTTCCCACAGATAGATGGTTCTCGTATCTCTTCAAGTGTTGTTTCTTAACAGAACAATGAATTCTCGTACCTTGTGAAAAATTATAAAATGTTTTAGATAACATCATAAGGACTTAAGTTTCTTATAGTAAGATAAATTACCTCTTTGTCGTCTAAAACCATTTCCATATATTCTCCTGAGGCGAAAGCAAACTGCTTCCAAATGTGCAGGATTTTGACTTGAATTCTCCAACTGGATTTGAAAGGCTTAATATTTTGAACAGAAGTTATTGGAAGTTTAGAAGCCATTTTCAAAGATTTGCATAAAAAGGTATGGTGACATGTTAACCTGTTTCTTCTATTTATATGCAATCAATTAGGTTAATTTGAAATTTTGTTGAAAGAATATAATCGCCAATATTTACAGATCTTCATTATTATAGCAAGATCTTTCAAATCTGTCATGACTATAGGTAAACAGATTAGTTAAAAATATATATTGTTACATATATGAGGTTGATTAGATTGCCATAGGAAGGAATATGTAGATTGATTAGAATATTCTGATAACTTATGATATAGTTCGGTATGGTTTGTTATGAATATTTAGTTAGGATCTGAGTTAAATGTTTGATAGTAAACGGTAATTTAGGATACCGTTTAGATGAGTGAACGAAAATATATATAGCAGTTGCCATATATTTAGGTCGAGATATTACATGTTTTGAATTCCAAATCCTAACCGGTTATTTAACAGTTATTTCAGCTCACAAAAACCGGTCTAAATCAAGTAGAAGAGGATCCACGTGTTTCATAATGGATCAATGGGTCGGACTTTTTTGTTTGGACATAGAACGATTCATATTGACTGAGTTAACTCAATGAACTCGGCGGTTTTATCCCTAATTAAACATGTTGCCAAACACATTTTACTTAATAACTGAGTGACATTCGGCGTAAATACATTCATTTTTTCGATTGTTTGAAAAAACGACTTCTCAAATAATATTATAGAGATATTTTTATTTAAAAGACACATACAATCCCCAAATCAGATAAACGTCCTGTAAATCATTGCACCTATGTGAAGCATACAGTATGTCAAATTTTTAATAGTTTACTTTTTGATGTTTGATATGAAATAAAAATCATATCTATTACTAATAAAAGTTGATGCTAAATGCTTCTAAGGGTGTCCACATAGGATTTAAAGATTCAATTTTATTGGTACACATCATCATTATTTTTAGTTAATTATATATTATAACTTAGAATTAATTAATTCATTTTAATTATTATAAAAAAATTTCTAAATTTTAATTAATTTTGTTTTTGTTGTTATTAGGAAAGTTTCTAAATTTTAAGTTAGTTATTAATAAAAATAAAAATAGATCTTACTTTATATAACAATAAAAAAAAGTAAATTAACATATAAATAGATTATGAAAGAAAATTCATATATATTGAACAAAATTATTAAAAACTATATTTAAAACCATAACTAAATTATTTTAAAATTTTAATCACGACAAACAATTAAAATTTGAACTGCTAACTTAAAGTATATTAGTTGTGGTTTGTGTTGATGTTTTAGGCCAATGAGAGCATCCACATATGACATATATACTCAATCTTATTAGTCTATATCAGCATTTTTTATTAAACAAAAAAAATATTATTATAATTTAAAAAAATTAAAACATACAAAAATATAAAATTATCACAATAGAATGAAAGATTATGATAATGTTTTTTTAACTAACAAAAAAACCAAATATAAATTATTTTTGCAATATGTCAATACAATTAAAATAAAAATTCATATTGAAAAACTTAAATTAATAAAAAAAAGATATTAACTTGATATCTATACTATTTTTTATTTAACAAAATAAATATAAACAAAATAAGTAAGAAAATAAAAAAAACTTAAGCAATACTAAAAAACTTTACTAACAAAAAGAAGTTAAATATTTAAGCCAATGATTTAAGAAATCAATATTAAGAAATTAATTAACAAAGGAATACAAAATAAAAATTAAGTTTTACAAAATGCTAAATTATAAAAAATCACCTAAAAAGAAATTGACTTGATATCTGATTAACTACTTAAGAAATCAATATAAAATATTTAACTAACAAAAAAACAAAAAATGAAGTTATGCCTTCAAAAATATCAATATTTTTAAAACAATTATGTATTAAAATAAAATAAAAATCAATATCAAGAAAAATAAATTATCAAAGGAAAAAGTTGTATAAAGAAAACCTAGCTTGATATTTGGGCTAATATTTTTGAAAATTAACATAAATAAATTAACTAAAAAACAAATGATGGTATAAGCTTTTCAGAAAAATCCACATAAAATTTAGAATACCCAGTTATAGCATGTCAAAATAGCATTATAATTAAAATAAAAATTAACGTGAAAAATAAAATTAACAAAGAAAAAATATTTATGTAAAAAGAGATTAAATTGATATATCCCACCTATTTAGAAAATTAATAACAAAAGAAATTAATTATAAAATATATATGTTTAAAATATAACAAACATGCCCAAAACTAGATAAATTAAACTAAAATATAAAATTACCATCGAAAGATATGTAAAATAACAAAAAACAAAATCTACGAAGAAAATTAGTTTAAAATTTAGTTCTAGAAAATTTATGATTATAAACTATTGGTATTGAATATTAATAACCATATAAAGTTACAGTAGGTTATACAAGTTTTTGAAGCAAACATCTTATTTAAATTTACAATGACTAATACCTTGGCTGCATATGGTTTAAAAACTAACAAAAAATACTGTACACAAGCTTACATTCGAAATATAAGAACTAATTTATACATAGTTACTACTTATAACTTAGCTAACATGAACAGCATATGAGTAACATCTTCTAAAATTTCCTTTAAATAAAAAAGCCATGTTCGTTTATTAATCGCTGCGGCAAGTGACTGCAGGAAAAAAAAGCAAGTGACTGCGGCAACAGAGAGAAAAATTGCCGCTGAAAATGAACGCTGCTGTTGTTAAAGATGGCCGCCGGTGTTGTTTGTGAAACGCTCAATTTTTCAGGCGGTAGTTTTAAGTTGACGCGACCACTGCTGCGGTTACTTTTCTCTCCATCAGCGCCTCCGACGAAGTCGTTTAGTTTGTTGATTGCTACAATAACCATCGTTTTATTCTGTCGCAGACGCAGACGCAGCGACTAGCAGAAGAACAGGGCTAAATTATGACAAAGTTATGATCAAATTCAAATTAAAATATATCTAGATAAACTATTCGAATCAAAACATGAATAAACCACACAAAATATGAAAACAGAGATAATATGAAGACTTCAAACCATCTTACATGTTTTAAAAAAAATTATCAAATAGTTGATTGTAAATAAAACAGATCTTATAAACTGAATAGAGATATAACCTAAAATTCATAGAAAATCTGGTAGAGAAGCAACAAGCAGCTTTACATGATTATTGTAGCATCCTAACAAAAGTAAATCAAAATCAACATGAATCATATATTATATATACATAGATACACAACATCAATGAGATATTTAATCAAAAACTAGATATTTGAACATATAAACCTTAAAAAGAAGAACTATAGATATCCTAAGGACATAAAACAAAACACCAAAAAATTAGTAAGGAAATTATTCACTAAATCAAATGTATGCACGTCGAAGTTGGATAATTTGTTAGATGTCATTACTATGATTTTACTTAATAACATTTATAATTTTATAAACAAAAATAGGTAAAACTACATATTATGTTTTAATTTTTTAATATAAAAATAAATTTCTATGAATATATAATAGTTTTGACAATTTAAAAGATATTAGCCAAAAAAGAACTTAACCAAATTATTAATAAAAATTGAAGGCATAGTGCATTGAGGGCGTCCACATGGGATGAAGAAACTCGATCTGATTGGTCTACATCAGCATATTCATTAAATAAAAAATGTTAAGTATGATTAGGACAGACAACTTGATTTAATTGGTCCATATCAGCTTTTAAATCAAACCAAAAAATATTAAGTATAATTAAAATATTAAAAGTTAATTTAACAAATTATGTCCAACAAAAAAGTAAATTCAATCTTATTGATTCAAATCAACATATTTATTAAATCAGAAATTGTTAATATGGTTTAAAAATTTTAAAGTTAAATAAAAAAAAATTAACAATTAACAATACAGCATCATCATATAATATATAAAAGTTGATGGTATAGTGCATTGAGGGCGTCCACGTGGGATTAAAAAACTCGATCTGATGGTCCACATCAGCATATTCATTAAATAAAAAAATATTAAGTATGATTAGGACAGAAAAACTTGATTTAATTGGTCCACATCAGCTTTTAAATCAAACCAAAAATTATTAACTATAATCAAAAAATTAAAAGTTAATTTAACAAATTATGTCCAACAAAAAAAGTAAATTCAATCTGATTGATCCAAATCAACATATTTATTAAATCAGAAAATGTTAATATGGTTTAAAAATTTAAAAGTTAAATAAAAAATTAACAATTAACAATACATGTATAAAAAAGTAACCATTATCAATTATCAATTTAAAAATCTACAACAACTCGATTTAACAATTAAAACAATGAAAACTGAATAAAAATATAACATAAAACTCTTGGAAGACATGATGGAGAAAGAAAAAATAGTTTTGCATGATCGTTACAGTTTTCTAACAAAATTAAATGTGAATCAACATGAATCCTGAATTATATATACAGTGGTACACAATATCAATAAGACTTTCAATAAAAAAAATTAAATATTTGAACACATAAACCTTCAAGAAAAAAAAGAACTATAGAAATTTTATAGAAAACAGAAAATAATATCAAAATCTTAGCAAGATTATATTTCTTTAAATCAAATATATATGTACGTCAAAAGTTGGATAATTCGATAAGTTTCATTGTTATTATTTTACCTAATAGTTTTTTAAAATTTATAAATAAAAATAGGATAAATTACATATTATATATTAAAATTCTCTTATATAAATGAAAATTTCTATAAATATGTATAATTTTTAATAATTTTAAAGATAGCAGCTAAAAAATAAACCAAAATATTAATACAGATTTGCGCATAGCGCGAGTTATATACCTAGTATATATAACTAATAATAGAATACGATAAAGCCTAAGATGTGTGTGTATGCAAGATAAGATCATGTAATAAAAGTACATGGAAAAAATAAATATAAAATAAGTGACGTGGCTGTGGCTGTTTATTTCACTAAAAAGGGTTCTGTTTTGATGTGGACCACTTTAATTGTTTGTCCAATAAAAGAAGGTTCTCTTATAAAGTCTATTCAAACACTCAAGAAAATGAGCGAATATGGTAATAAAAATTCCTTTCATGACAGATCCATAGATCCAAAATTATCAATACAAAGAAATTCAGATCGATTTAAAAACTCCAAACCGAACCATAACGAATCCACACCAATTTAATCACAAATAAACTAAATAATTAAACCCAAAAAGAACAAAATTAGTTAAGTATATAGTAGACTTTTTTTTTAAGGAATAAAATGACATTAACTCTTTTAAAAATGCTCAAATGAGAGGCCTTAAAATGGGTTGTTTTTTTTTGGGTTCAGGAATGCAACTATTTTATATAAATCACATGTACTTTTATAAAAAGTTAATGCGATCATAGTCAATGCATCTGCTCGCAGTAATGGAGATCGAGGACATATATTCATATTCATGTTCATTATTGCCAAAATGATGAGGATACAAGTGCGAAGTACGAGGATTTTTTTATGAAAATGTTACTACATTTGGAACATTATCCGATACTTTTCCACATAAGATAAATTTAACTAAGATCTCTCTTTTTTTTTCTTAAATCAAGGGTTTCCATTTAACTAAGATCTTGCGGCATGCAATGCATGCGAGAAGTATAATA